TTTCCTTCATAAGCATTTACGCATGCCTTTCCAATTTCAACAGTCTGAAATTGTACAGACGAAGGATTGCCACCAAATTCTTCAAACAAAACTAATGTATTCTCACCATCTTTAAGGAATGAACGAGGGACATGGTACCTGTAAAACAACAACATAAATTACTGTTGGTGAATTTAAAACAAAATACATTTCAGTTTCTTATGTGAACTTTTCTTACCATCTTTGTGTAGTTTCACCACACTTAGAGGCGCATTTTCTATCATTATAACGGCCACGATAATCACAAGCCTCAGTCTTGCAAAGCTGCTCATCAGCTATATAACTGGGCCAATACCTACCAAGACTATGACCATTCACCCAAGCCATGCCCTTTCCTAAACCTAGTAAATCCACAACAACTGGTTCATTTCCCAATGGAGCTTTGAAGGTAGTCTGAAATTTCAAAAAAAAAACCAAAAAAGAATCAGTAATAACAATAAAATTTGTGTTCCTACTAAGATTTATTGGTAGTGCAATTTATATATTTATAAATTACCTTGTACCAAGTGAAATTCCTGTTAACAGGAAGAGGACCTGATGCCCATTTCATTGTTGTTGAAGGACAATCTGTCTCGAAATACTTGTTTGTAATTCCATCCAACCCGGTTTTTTATGTCCATTTACTTCAGTCTAAATCTTTGACTATGGTCTTGTCACCTTTTGTCACAGCCAATTCAACAGGAGATATAATTCCAGCTCCTACCAAATCAAATTTGGGTCCATAGTTCTGCAAACAATTTGCCAATACATTGATTAAAAATTATAAAATCCTATATTAAATTCACCTTGAATCCAACTGTGACACTAAGCAATGATATCAAATTCTTTCCTGGAGATAGGTTGATATTTTTCTCGAAAACATATGTAACATTATCGCCATATTTTGACCATTGAGAACCTACATTTTTTATGAAATAAAAATATATATATCAAATATTTGTATTATTATATTACGAATTCAATATATATATATATATATAAAGAAAATAAGAGAAAATTAATTTTGTTCATTACCAATATACTCTCCATTGACAAAAGCATGAAGAACATGACCGGTGTCATTTACACGAAGGGTCACATTTCCATTCAACATGGGATCACCTTTTGCAACCTCAACACTATCAGTAAGTAAAAGATCTAAAAATTAGATAGGTCATGTAATATCCAAAAAAATTTTAAGAAATAGTTTAATGAAAATCATTAGTTTACCTTGTCATGTACCACAAATAGTCACTAGCATCATTAGCCATATCCTTTTGATCAATAATCTCGTTAGCAGAACGTCTCCCTTGCCTTTCACTGTAGTCGATTTGATAATTTCAGGTCTCCATACTCAGCCCTGTTGGGTTTTTTTCCAACACTGGAGTTTGAGCATAAACCTAAAATATAATAGCAGATATATATCACAATATAATTTTGATCATAAAAACCAAAATATATACAATATATGCTAATAATTTGTATGTACCTTTGCAGTGTTGTATGCTTCTTCCTTGCAATCAGGAAGAACACTAACAGACCATGCTGGAACAAAGTATTCAATTCCTCCGAAGTTGACGTTGGCATCTGTTGCATTATTTGTATTACTCAAGAAGCAACTTGATTTCTCCTTCGTTGCATAAGCAGTAGCCTAAATCATGTTTAATTAAGAAAAAATTAGTACAAATATTTATATATTCTTCAAATTAAATCATATTTAATAGCAGTTTTAAGAAATTAATCATAATTAATTAATTACTGTAACATCATTGCCAAGATCTGTATTTTCACATGCCCATGAGTAAGAGTATCCTCTATCGCATGCAAAACATCATGAAGTTGCTTCAAATGCCCCCATTTTGGTTTATTCAAGTTACCTAATAAAAAATTAAAAACATTTTAAAATTAAAATTATCATAAATAATCTTACTGTAATAATTACATACTATTAACAAAAATTATAGTAAAGGCAGGCAATTAATTACCATATTCATCTAGAGGTGCATCATAGTCATATGAAGTAGTAATATATGGACCACCCGAAGTTCAAGCAACATTGGTACCACCATGATACTAAAAGTATAAATAACCAAAAACAAAATTTAGTAAAATGAAACTGAAGGTTTTAATGTCGGTTAAATTGAAAATTTTTAATTAAAAAGCACTAACCATGTAATAATTTTGCAATGTACCACCAGTTTGGAAAAAGCGTGCAACAGCGAAAGCAAGATCTTCAGCTGTTCTATGTCGGTGTGCACCACCCCAACTCTTAAACCTGAAATTTATTAAAAAATTGTTATATAAATTAAAGTTTAAATAATAATAATAATAATAATAATAATAATAATCTCACCATCCAGTCCAATTTTCAGTCAACATTTTAGGGCTATTGGGGTCTTTTGGTTTATATGCATCACAATACCAACCATTGCATGTCTCAATCTGATCATCAGAAGAAATCAAAATCAGATTGCCATTAAAAAAATATGCATGACTCTACCCTTAACTCCAACTTGGCATTAGAAATAAAATTTTATATTAATAATTGAAATAATAAATAAATAAATTTCGAAGAAAAAATAGTTTAATTGATAGACATTTACCATTGGCTTTGGAGCACCAACTTGTTGACACATGACCCATGGGACTCCAATGCCAAGTGAATCTGCCATTTTGTTGGGAATATTAACTCAAATCCCATAAGAGATTTGTTAGAGATTTGTTTGAGATTTGTCAGATATTGCTTGATGGACAAGAAGACTTGCAAAAGAAGAATTCTAAGAGAAAGAGGATTCTTAATAGGTAAGTTTGACTTGTAAGAGAAGAATTTTAAAAGGAAAGGGATTCTTAATAGGCAAGTTGACTTACAGGAGAAGAATTCTAAGAGGAGTGGGATTCTTAATAGGCAAGTTTGTATGGTTATAAATAGGTGAAGTCTCTAACAGGGTTAGGTATGAGAAAAAAGATGTAAAAGAGTGTAGGTTTTGTGGGATAGACACCCCATAGGAGTATTGAGGCTTTACGTCTTATGGGTGTGTATGTTGTTGGAGTGGACTAGAGGAGATTGAGAGGGTTTACATAAGTATGATGTATGAGAGCATATGGGTATGTGTTTGGTTATGTTGAAAGTGTGCACAAGGGTTTGGGTTTGTGTTTGTTTGGGTTGAGAATACTCTATAGGACTAGAGGAGATTGAGAGTGTCTTATGAGTATTGATTATTGAGTGAGGTTGATGATTTGATGTAAGTTTGTAATTCTCTACAACTAGTGGATCTTGTTTCTCATCCGTGGATGTAGGTCAGTTGGACCGAACCACGTTAAATTGTTGTCTCTTGTGTGTTTGATTTATTATTTGATTTCGCTTCCGCTGGTGTGATTGAATTGGAGGCTTTTAGCCCAACAAATGATATCAGAGCTGAAGGTTCGAAACGTGAAAAGAGTTGAAGATTCAAGATGTGAAAAAAGCCGAAGGTTCGAGATGTGAAAGAGCTGAAAGTTCGAGATGTGAGAAGAGCTAAAGGTTTGGGAAGTGCATGATTTGAGACATGAAAGAAGCAAGTCCAGAAGTGCTCGATTCAAGAGAAGAGTTCGAGTTTAAGTTTTGAAGATTTAGGATTGGTTTGTATGAAGCGTGAAGATACAAGAGCAGAGAAGATGATTGTGAGACTTTCATTACAAGTGGAGCTAAGCATGTCTGACATGAAGACAGATGATTGATGGAATTTGAGTCAAGGTGAAGATTGTTGGGAATATTAACTCAAATCCCATAAGAGATTTGTTAGAGATTTGTTTGAGATTTGTCAGATATTGCTTGATGGACAAGAAGACTTGCAAAAGAAGAATTCTAAGAGAAAGAGGATTCTTAATAGGTAAGTTTGACTTGTAAGAGAAGAATTTTAAAAGGAAAGGGATTCTTAATAGGCAAGTTTGACTTACAGGAGAAGAATTCTAAGAGGAGTGGGATTCTTAATAGGCAAGTTTGTATGGTTATAAATAGGTGAAGTCTCTACAGGGTTAGGTATGAGAAAAAGATGTAAAAGAGTTGTAGGGTTTTGTGGGATAGACACCCCATAGGAGTATTGAGGCTTTACGTCTTATGGGTGTGTATGTTTGTTTGTGAGTGGACTAGAGGAGATTGAGAGGGTTTACATAAGTATGATGTATGAGAGCATATGGGTATGTGTTTGGTTATGTTGAAAGTGTGCACAAGGGTTTGGGTTTGTGTTTGTTTGGGTTGAGAATACTCTATAGGACTAGAGGAGATTGAGAGTGTCTTATGAGTATTGATTATTGAGTGAGGTTGATGATTTGATGTAAGTTTGTAATTCTCTACAACTAGTGGATCTTGTTTCTCATCCGTGGATGTAGGTCAGTTGGACCGAACCACGTTAAATTGTTGTCTCTTGTGTGTTTGATTTATTATTTGATTTCGCTTCCGCTGGTGTGATTGAATTGGAGGCTTTTATCCCAACACATTTGAGCACACCAATTAATATAGGCTTGTCCATCTTCTCCACATGGTTCCATAACATTTCCATATTCATTCTCAACCTGATATATAAATAACAAATTTGTTATAATATTATTTAAACATCATTAAAATAACTTTAACGAAACCTGAATTGACCATATATATACCTGAGCAAGAATAATATGACCTCCTTGTGATGCAAAAAGATTCTCCTTTTTTACCATATCAACTATCAAAGTTGTAAAATTTTGCATCTCATTCTGTTCAAATTTATTTTTTTTAAAAAATTAAATTATATATTGGAAAAGAATTAGTAAAAACTCTTAATAAGAAACTATTAAAAATAAAAATGAACCTCAATCCAACTTCCAAATTTAAAAACAAAAATATTATTTTATTTTGACCCAAAAAATTTGGGATCGAATAGAACAAGTACAATTCTTGAGCTACAAAGATTCTTTATTTATTTTCAAATAAAAAATCAACAAAACAAATTCAAAAAAGAAAAATCCTAAGCACATATAGCCTCCACAGCTAGCCTTTTGCGGACACAAGACGCTTTTCCGAATTTCTTTTCAGAAACCTCGAAAGAGCACGATTCTTTGCCAACACATTCCTGTTGAATTTAATTATATAAATAAATTAGTTTCATTAAAAAAAAAAAAACCATGTGTCTTAAAAATTAAAGAAATTTTTTTTTTTTTAAAACTTACTTTCTCAAGTATTGAAACAGCATCTTCTTTTGATTCACAATCGCTTTTCTTGAAGGATCCACACACACCTTGTGGATTGCCAAAACTAGCAAATTCAATCCTTGAAATTGGTCGATCGTAACAAGACAATTCCACTGTCTTTCCTTCGTATGCATTTATGCATGCTGAACCAATTTCATTTGTCTGAAATTGTACATTCGAAGGATTGCCCCCAAATTCTTCAAACAAAACCAATGTGTTCTCACCATCGTTGAGGAATGAACGAGGAACATGGTACCTATAAAACAACATGAAATTTACTATGATAATCAATAGAATCTAAATACAAACATATATAAAACAGAATTTTTTGTAAACATTTTATTACCATCTTTGAGTAGGTTCACCACACTTATTGCGGCATTTGTTCTCATTATAGAGGCCACGATAATTACATTCCCCAGGTTGGCAAACCTGCATTTCTGCTATAGCACTGGGCCAATACCTACCAATATCATGACCATTCACCCAAGCAACACCCTTTCCTAAACCTATTAAATCCACAACCACTGGTTCATTACCCAATGGAGCTTTGAAGGTTGTCTGGAATTTCAAAGAAAGAAAAAAACATATAATATAATCAATAATCACGACAACAATTGTGTTACAAAATTTATTGATTATGCAATTTATATATTTATAAATTACCTTGTACCAAGTGAAATTCCTGTTAATAGGAAGAGAATCCGAATCCCATTTCAATGTTGAATTACAATCTGACTCGAAAAACTTGTTTGTAATCCCATCCATCCCAATTTTATAATTCCATTTATTTGAGGTTAAATCTTTCACTATTTTAGTGTCACCCTTTTTGCCAATCAATTCAAAAGGTGCTTTAAGTCCATTTGACGACGAATCAAAATGGGCACCATAGTTCTGCAAACAAATTTGTTAATAAATTTATTGAAAATTATAGAATCATAATTATTATTCTAATATTAAAAAAAAAAAAAAACACCTGTAATCCAACTGCGACACTAAGCACTGTTATCAAATTGTTTCCAGCGGATAATTTGATATCTCTCTCAAAACGATATTGTTTATTACCCTTATTCGACCATTGAGAACCTACATTTTCAAAACATATAAATATAAATTACCTAACTATTATGACTTTAATTCAATATATATGGAGTAACTAAAATAAGAAAAAAATTACTTACCAATGTATGCTCCATTGACGAAAACATGAGAAACATAACCACTACTATTAAAACTTAGGGTCACATTTGAACTCAACACTGGGTCATCTTTTCCAAGCTCAAAACTAACAAAATACATTCAAAAATAATTAAAAAAAAGGTCAGAGAGTCAGACAACTTATAATGAAAAAAATGTAAAGATATACTATAATGACAATTAATAATTGAATTACCTTGTCATGTACCACAAATAGTCACTAGCATCGTTTGCCATTTCTTTTTGATCAACAATCTTGTTAGCAGAAACGTCTCCCTTGCCTTGCACCACAGTCGGTTCGATCAATTCAGGTCTCCATACCCATTTCAGAGAAATTGGTTGATCCTCAGCTTTGTTGGGTTTGTTTACATAAACTGAAGTTTGAGCATAAACCTTTGCAGTGTTATATACTTCTTCCTTACAATCAGGAAGAACACTAACAGACCATGATGGAATGTAGTAATCAGTTCCTCGGAAGTTGATTTTGGCATCTGATACATTATTTGTATTGCTCAAAAAGCAACTTGATTTCTCCTTTGTGACATAAGCAGTACCCTAAAACATGTTTAATTATGAAAATATTAGAACAAATGTTTATATATTCTTCAAATTAAATAATATTTAATGAGTGTTTAAAGAAATTAATCTTGATTAATTACCCAAACGCCATTGCCAAAATCAGTACTTTCTACTTCCCCATATGTAAGAGTATGCTCCATGGAATGCAAAAGATCATGAAGTTGCTTCAAATGTCCCCATTTAGGTTGGTTCAAGTTTCCTAACACATAAAAATTGAAAAACATTGTAAATAAATAATTATAAAAATTAACAAATGTAAAGTAAAATGAATATAATGCAATTACCATATTCATTAAGAGGTGCATCATAGTCGTATGAAGTAACGATATATGGGCCACCAGAAGTTCTACCAAAATTGGTACCACCATGGTACTAAAAGTATAAATAACCAAAAAAAAAAAAAGTTAATAAAAAGAATTAAAGTTTTGAATGTGGGTAAAATTTATAAATTTAATTAAAAAGCACTAACCATATAATAATTTTGCAATGTACCACCTCTTTGGTAAAAGCGTGCAACAGCGTAGGCAAGATCTTCAGCTGTTCTATGTGGATTTGCACCACCCCAATTCTTAAACCTAAAAAATTCATTAAAATTTTTATAAATTTATTATATATTAATAAAAAATAATTTTTAAAATAAAAACAAAAAAATAAGACCCTCACCACCCAGTCCAATTTTCAGTCCAAAATTTAGGGCTCTCTGGGTTTCCTGGTTTATAATTATCACAATAAAAACCGTTGCATGCCTCGATCTGAAACGTAATAAGAAATCAAAATCAAATGCCATTAAAAATATTTTTATATTAATAATTCAAAACAAAATAAATAAAAATATTTTAAGAAAAACTGATATGATAGATAGATAAATATACCATTGGCTTTGGAGCATTATATTGTTGACACATGACCCATGGGACTCCAATGTTAAGAGAATCAGCCATTTGTGCACACCAATTTATGTACTTTATTCCATCTTCTCCATATGGTTTCATAATATTTCCATATTCATTTTCAATCTATATAAAACAATATAAATAAATGTATATCACAAATTTGTTTTAATATTATTTAAATTCCATAAATAGAAAAAAAAATTAATGAAACATAAATTAACAATTATTATGTACCTGAGAAAGAATAATAGGCCCTCCTTGTGACGCAAAGAGTTTCTCTTTTTTCATCATATCAACTATGTAAGTTGTAAAAATTTGCATTTCCCTCTGATAAAAATAATTTTAAAAGGTCAATATATTTATAGGAAAAGAATTAGTAAAAATTATTAAAAGGAAAATTCATTACCTTAAACACATCATTGTTGGTTCGGAAAGCAGATCCAGGTATATTGTGCAACCATACAGGAAACCCACTAATAAATAGAGAGCAAATCATAAAAATGTTTAGTACTGTTAAAATTTAATATCAAAATCATAATAAAAATTTTAATTAATTTACCCATAATTCCACTCAGCACAAGCATAAGGTCCAATTCGAAGAATTGCATATAATCCTTCATCTTGAATGGTTTTAATAAACCGAACAAGATCAAGATTTCCACTAAAGTCATATTGCCGACGAGCCGGTTCATGTGCATTCCAAAATACATAGGTTTCAATTGTATCCAATCCACCTTCTTTGGCCTTCCTAATAAGATAAGGCCACATCTAACCAATACAAAAAAAAAAAAAAGGATCAAGAAATTACTTAAATTGACAAAAAATTAATAAATCAACATAAATAATTAAAAATTAAATAATTTGATTAATAATATTTTTAATGGTATACATATATGTTACCTGTGCAGTGCTCCTTGGATAATGAATTGCACCAGAAATTAAAATTCTACGATTTCCATCAATTATGAGTGCTCTTGAATCACGAGTGACATTGGTAGCATTTGCATGAAATATGAGAAAATAAAAAATAATGGCAGAAAAGAAAGAGTTGAAGAGAAAGCCCATTTTCCTTTTTTTTTTTTTTTTGGTTGGTTTTTCTCTACGAAGCTGAATATGAAATGGTGAAATGAAATACTGTATTTATAGTGCCAAATTTTAAAGATGGATTGAGATTAACGTATATGAAAGATTATCAAAAAGCAATTTTTTTTATCTAAATGGTTTGTGGATTTAACTCTATCTCTAACTTTGATAATTATCATTATCATTATCATTATTCATTAATTAAAATTTCATGATGAGATTTTTAAACAAGACGAGATGTTTTTGTGTTATTATCAGCCTGTAATTAGTTCATGATTTTTATGTTATTTACCAAAAAGAAGTTTAAACCAATTAAGAGGGAACTCGATGGGTCATGACTCCAAGATGTAGTTTACCTTCCAAAGAGTATTTAGTATGGGTGATCTGTATAAAATTATAGTGACTTGTGTTTAATAATTATATCATCTTATTTGGTAACAAATTAAATATCTTATAATAGTTATCCAATATGTAGTTTATCATTTAGAAAGTATTTAATATGGGTGATTTTGTCTAAAAGTTATAGTGATCTATGTTTAGTAATTACATCTTCTTTGATAGTAAATTAAAAGTCTTATGTGGCGATGATCTTAAATTATTATGATGATAAGATCACTACATTGAGGGGTGATATGATTTTCAATCTAAAGAATGATAAAATTGTATCACCATGGGGAAAGCAACTTTTAATATCATATTTGACTAATTTATCTTAATGAAAGATGTACTTAACTTTATTTTAGAAAGTTGAATAGTAAAAATTTTCAAAAATCTATTTTTTAATAACTTATTTTAAAAAAAGTTTTCTATTACAATTGAATAAATATTTATTGATTATAAAAATAAAATAATTATTTAATATTTTTAGAAATTATTTTTCATTAAAATTGGTTTATATTTTATAGTTTTCTAAAAAATAACATTTAACTATTTTATAAATTATCAATTCAATAAGTACTAAAATTTTTTTGTAAGATTATTTTGGATATTTTATATTTTATAATTTATTTTTTCATATAATGCAAAATACAGAAATTTAATATCACTAGTAATTTATAATAGTATACCAAACATAGAAGTATAAGATCACCGATAATCCAATCATCTTAGTGATCTTAAAATGGGTAAATTTCATAGTCTTGATCTTAATTTTTTTTTCATTTCATTTGTCTTTAAATTTTAATTGCTTTATTTGAATCCTTAACTTTCCACAATAGTTTCATTTTGAATTTCTTTTTCATATTTATTCATTAACATTTGAGAAAAATATCTACGTAGCATGCCAATAAACTTAAACCTAGGTGATGAAATTACTTTAAAAAGTTTGACATCCAAATGAAATAATTTAAAGATTAGGGAGTAAATTGAAACCAAAACAAAAATTGGGGATTATGGACAAAATTTACCTTGTTAGAATATTAAAAGGATAATTCGAGATATAACTTGATATATATATCCCATTACTCAAAAAAAAAAAAATCCTACATGATTAACATTGAATAAAATTAATCTTTTTTATATTATTATCTCAACAAAGCGAGTAGAAGGATTGTGATTGTTTTTTGAGAAAGTTATATAATTAATTAATTAGCAACATTATTATTACTTGTGATACAAAATTAATTTACTTGTTATATAGTTTTTTTTTTAATTTTAATAATTAAAATTCAATTTATAACCACGTCAAATATTTAAAAAGACAACAAAGAAGTACACCTTAAAAAATTAATGGTGATGCATCATCTTTGATTGCCACTCAACGTTGATTGTCAAATAAAAAATCATTAAGACAAAAGAAAATTATAAAAATATATATATTTCAATATTTTTTGTGTATCATTGATTGAGATCATGGACATCTGGTGTATACACCACTGCTGAAGTTTTCCAAGTTATAATAAATAGATTAAAATTAAATAATTATTAAATCTTATTAGTATTTTTCTGTCCTTATCATCAAAGATATCTTTCAGATTTTATTCTATTAATTAATAGATTTTTAAATAAGTTAATTTAATCCATTGGCATACATTTTCGTAGGCAACACTGCATTTTTAAAGGAACCAATGGAACTCAAAAAATAAAGCATAAAAGAATGAAATAATTTCAATAAATTAAAGAAAAGATATGTACTAGCTAGTAGCTTTTAATTTCTTTTGTTTATGTTTTTAAAGTTTACTTCAAATTCTTATATGGGAATCTAGCAGGTTGATAAAAGGACAATGTTATTTGCACTATAATGTTTTTATTCTATGGAAACACACAAAATTTTTTAAATAATTATTCCCTGTCAATCAAGTTCCAAAATTAATTACTATTACCTTAAAAAATATATTAGTTTCATTAGAAAAAAAAAATAAAGGAATTGCTTTTTTTTTTCAAAGATCATCTTTTCAAGCAATAAGAATATGTTAGACCGATGGAATAAAATAAATTTATGTGTCAAATTTGAAATTTTATTTTTTATTATTTTATAAATTTGGTTCAAATAATAAAAAATATTTTTTTATTAATTAAAAAATAAAACCATCCATTGATTTTGAACTAATTATTTGAATGTGATTTTTTTTCAATAATATAGATGTTGTGTTGATAAAAACATTAATAATAGTTATAGCATTAAGATTTGACAAAAAAACCACAGAAACAAAATGTGGTTTCACTTTCAGCCTATAAAAGGGTGGGTTCACATCTCAAAATTTGAGTGTCTTTTTTTATGCATATAAAAAAATCTAAAAAGGTTTTATTTTCGAGAGATAATAAAAAAAAGTTAATAATTGAAGATAGCCGTTGGGTGGTCACATCCTTGATCCTGCCGGAAGAGATGACTCGGAGTCATTGTCACTGGACTCTGGATGAGCTCGTTCGATGAGTTAACGGACCAATAAGAAATCGACATGTGCAGGAGCGCTGGGACCTGATTGGCTTTGCCTTGCTAATCATGAACCGTTCTGCTCCTGGTAACATCGATCAAACCAACTTCAATGACTTTACTACCCCTATTTAATATGTTTAATGACATTACTACCCTCTTAATTTTTTAAAAAAATTTTGGTTCCACTTTTTGTTTTTTTCATGATGCTGCGACGCCGTGTTATCGGTTGATACTTAAACTCTAACTTGCACGATTTTAAAATACGAAAATAAATTTTATCGTGTCTTAAATCAGTTTAACACAAAAAAAAATTACATACGGACACCTTAGATTGCCGGATTTGACTGCCCAGAACACATCAGAACCATTATGTGTCCCGAGTATACTGAGTGTCCCCGCGATTCTAAATATTCTGAAGCGATTTTTTGTATTAAACTGTTCTGAGGAACGAAAAAATCTATCTTTATTTTTTGAAACTGCACAAATCTGAAACTTGGTCTTGAAAAGTAACATACGTACCAATAGTTGTTCTAATTTTTTATTCATTTTTATTTTTATAATTTATTTTCACGTTCAAATGATTTAATTTTAGCATGCAAATTGTGAACGTTTCATTTTCATTTTTATTTTTTATGATCAGTAATTTTAGGTTGTATTTGTTTCACATGAATTTTTTATCAAAAAATAACTTCTACATTTTTTATATGTGGTTGGAAGAAAATTATCTTATCAACATAAATAATTTATTGATCAATAAAAATAAATTTATTTTTTTAAAAATTATTTTCTCTTTTGAAAAAAATAATTTTTTTTAAAAAATCCATGGATTGGATTATTTGTCAAATTTATTAGAATCAAACTTTAAATATGACTTTTAAGCCTTAATTAAAAAGAAAAAAATTTAAATGCAAAAATAATTCTTTCATGTATAAATATCCAATCATTAAGCTTTATAATATCAATTATTTTATATTTCTCGTTCTTTTTTTTTTGGTTTCAAATGGAGTTAGTGTCCGTACAACAAGAAAGAGGCGTGACGGGGATTGAACCCTCGCGTAGATGACTTTCTAACGGTCTCTTAACCACTTGGGCTTAGGAGAAAATTTCTATATGTCGTATATATCTACATTATGACTAGTAACATAATATAGCTGTAGTTTTTATAGTTTATTATGCAACTACCATCTATTTTTTTATGCGACCATTAACATAATCTTATATACTAACTCTTAGTTGTTTTTTTTAATTTGATTTTATTATATTTAAAATTATTAAAACTTAAATCTTGATTATTGAATTAATAATTTAATACTCTATCAAAGTATTATATGATTATTATTTTTTAATTTTATTTTTTATACTTATATTTTGTATAACTTTTATTTTAAGACTAATTAAATTTAGGAATTAAAAGTTAACATAAATGATGACATTACTAAATTAATATCATATTCGTTACCATATTTTCGAAGAAAAATCCCATTAACAAACACTTAAAATTTTGATTTAAAAAATCTTAAATTGTAAATTTATGTGAAGAAAAATGGTACATTCATTCTATTAAAAAAAAATAAAATCTAAGAATATATGGATCACACTTTTTTGATATTCTTATTTCCAAAGATAGGGGTAGTTTAGTAACTTAATAGGAAAAAAACGCCTTTACAGTGGGCCCAGACAACATCCTTCTTCCTGCCAAAAAAACTGGGCCCCAAAATTCAGTGGGCTCAATCAACTTAAGGGAAAACTTGGTGGTTTCAGCAATAATTCAAGGCCCCACAACCTGTAGGTTTCGGCCACGTATCAAAACTTAAACGGTGACAGTGGTCATGGAATCTTTAGTGTTGTAAGTGCACTGGCCCAATGTGGGCCATAGCTCTCGGCATCAGGTCTCAATCATCAGACAAAGACATTATACAGGTTGGTCCCACTGAAAAGTGACTTTTTAGAAAATCATTTTAGGCATTATTTTTTAATAATAATTGAATTTTTTTTATTATCATAACATTGCAGCAATCATCACCCATATAATTCCAAACGAAACCATGGGCTAAGTCTACCACCCTTTCCATCATAAATTTGTAGTTCTTAACTTGGTTTTGGTGGAGAAGACTTTATAACAATAAGATCAACTCCCAATATCTCTCCAATCCTCCACCTTTTAAACAAAGATTTGATATCTTTTTTCTCTTTTCCTAGTTATGTTAGGGAAGAGACCACGTCCAATGATCGGGAAGTTGTCCGAACTATTGCTTTCTGGCAACAAACCCGGATTGTTGGATGTTGTAACAAGCCCCAGAAGTCCATTAGATTTCAAAAGTCCATCACCTAGAGGTTTGAAGAGATATGATGTTGGTGGGGTTGGACTAGGAATCGTTGCTGCACTGGACAATTCTAGTTCTGATTCCTGCAGGCATGCTATTTGTAGCTCAAATTTGAATAGATCAACTGCAATTGTTGTCAATCCTTGCAGGAATTCTGATAGATTTAGAGGAAAATATGAGGATTTAGAGGTGGAAAGTTTGGAGGATTATACTTATGTGACAAGCCATGGACATGGCAAGTCATCTTCAAAGGTGTATTATGACGGAGTTGAACGAGTTGAACAAAGGAAAAGTAGTTCTAGACATGACAGAAACAGGTTTGGTGCTGTTAAGAAAACCCCAGCAGCAAGATTTGTGGAAGATGTTACTTACCCAACTTCAGATTTTCTCAGTTCTTGTCATCTATGCAGGAAAAAGCTGCATGGTAAAGACATATACATGTATAGGTAAGAACCCTTTCCCTTGTTCATCTTTTTGTTTAATTGCTTTTAGTCAATCAAGATTCCTCTGTGCAATATGGTTCTTGGTCATCCTGATTAAAAAGAAAAAGAAATCATGTGCTTTTTTCAGAATCGTTTGCTTGTTTGTTGAAGTTTAAAATATCATCTGTTACTGTTTGTTATAAGAGAAACACTGATGATGATTCCTTTGTTATAATGATATTTTCAGAGGGGAAAAAGCCTTTTGCAGTCCGGAGTGTAGGTCAACTCAAATAATGATGGATGAGAGGAAAGAACAATGCAGATCAGAAGCTTCAAGATCTGCAAAAGTTTCAACCTCCTCTCATAATACAGAGCAAATTTTCTCGACCGGTATTCTTGCGGTTTAGCCTTACCAAGCAGCTTATGATTTTGGCCGCAAAGACCACTCGTATCTATAGGAAAATACCATACGATTATTAGGATTAATAATAACTTTAATTTTCCAATGTCAATTTAGAAACAAGAAGAAACCAGAGAAAAAAATTTGAGAAAATTTTGGTCGGATTGGAGTAGAGCTTACTTATGCTGTAATGAGAAATATGAAATTTGATAAGAAATGAACTTCCTTTATGTAGTTTTCATTTCCATATTCATTCCATCCACATATCCGTTTGAGAGAAAATGATAAAGAAAGTCTGGGGCTTTTTTTTTTTATGATCATAATCCAAAACTAAAGCAAAATATCTATGATCTGTTAAAAAGTCAGAAAGATGAAGCAATCTCATATTGATGAACCCAAAAGCCTTAATTCAGTTAGCAAACGAATGAATTTGGCATCAAGCAATTACTACATGTTGCAATTTTAGTCAAGAGAATATGATAAAGCCCTGTAAGTTGTGAGCTTCTGCTTGAAGTTTTAAACCATGGACCGATTGCGCTTAAGAAAATATAAAAAATCTAAAGAAACAATAAGTATTTTTAAGCTTTAATTATTATTATTATCATATGCATTATGCGTGAATATTTATTTATTTTTTTTTAAAATGATAATGATATAATATATAAATATTTTTTAAATTTAAAGTTTGAAATATAAATAATTGAATTTTTCGCAATATATTATTCAATAATACTCACGAGTATATAAATAAATTATATATTGAAAGTTTCTATCAAAATAAATTGAAGAATGGAAAAAATATTAATTACTCTCCAGTATATGACATAATATTGCTTTGACTGAACTAAACCACAATGGACTAGACGTTTCTCAAATAATGAACTATCCATACAAGCGTAAGGTAAAAAACCGTGAGATTCAGCAGTCTAGCCAAAGAAAAAAAAAAAACAAATTCGAAAATGAAAACAGTAACAGCATCCCACAGTTCCCCAATTACTTGTTAATAGGAGCTGGATCCCATCATTTATCGGTAAAACATAAGGTACTGGGTTGTCGCAACATTTTGGTATCCACCATCATAGATTGCCTGACTAGCTCCAGCAGCATCCGTTCCCATGGCCACCTGCTTAAGGGCATGCTGACGTTGTGGGTGCATCGTACTCGTTACCTGTGCGCCACCATATTTACTTAATGTCGTATGTCGTTCATAGGCAGCAAGGTCCGCAGCTGAAAGACCAGGCATATGTACAGCAGCTGGTGGAGGCAAACGGGTACAGCTTGTTCCTGGTGCAGTAGGTTTGCAACCCCATGAGCACTGCAGCATTAAACCATTTGAAAGGTCATGCCACAATAACATAAAATTTGCACCAGCCATAAGTGCCTGCAGCAAATCTAGAAGCACATCCACCAATATCACTAGTACAAAAGTTCCATACCAGGATGAATGGTGGCTTTTGGTAAGTGAAAACATTAGATGAGTGACATCAATTTATCAATTAAAGTACGACAACAAACTGAATCCTTAACATTCGAAATCATAACAAACAACTGCAAAATCTGAGATGGGGTTTTTCAAAGAGAAATACCTTTAATTGGTTTACCACATAGGATTTGAGCATTTCCCATCTGTATAGCTAGAGCTGCTTCAGTATGTGGACTGTATCTCACAAAACCAAAACCTTTATCTCGTTGCACGCGAACATCTTCAATAGTTCCCGCTGCAAGGGTTTGGAAATGCCTGTGGAGATCAACTGATGTAACCTGCAATTTTTTCTTAATGTATCAGAACGACTACCAAGAAAACCAATTACCTTTCATCTATGAGACGGCAAAAGACTGATGTGCAAGGGAACGATATTGCCACTAAAATTTTTATTAGAAGTTCTCATTTGACCCTAAGGATGGAACACTGAGAGAGTAAAGACAGAGAGAATAGGGAGACGGAGCTCCCTTGATTTTTTTATTTTTTTTTTGGAAATGGAATTAAAAAAAATATACCGGGACTGAGTTAAGGTCAGATATCGGGAGTATAAAAGACATTAATCAATCGTACGAGTGGGCTGCTTGAATGATCGATAGTTAATCATTTTTTATTTTGTGACAATTATTATTAAATTTTTTTTTTCTTTCCTTTCAAATTTCAAGATTGACAATAAAGATGAAGAATTGGGCTATGATGTGAAACTAAATCCAAAGTCCTAAGTATTGGGAATGCATAAATCTCTGTCGGCCATTTTAGCCATGAACTCAAGTTGCTTTTCTTCTAAAGTGAACTTGTAGACCCAGCTTTGAAAAAGCTGAACGGGGGTCTATGCAGGCTGCCTCAATAATTTCTTAGCCCAACATTTGACCATGGAGGTATGGACTATTACTATTACTATTATATTGCCTGGTTTCAAGGCCCATTTTCAACCCAACTATGCTCACACTCTTATCGTCTGTCAGCTCCAAGCAAAATAATAAGTGCAATAACATATAAAAAATGGTATCCCGTAGATTTAAAAAAAAAAAAATTCTAATATCAATACATGCATCCTTTCTTCTATTCTTAATTTGCCATCTATTTATATAAAAAAACCAACTAGTGCAAGAGTTATATACACTAAACCTGTCGAAGAAATAGAAAAAGATTTTAGTTGTTTCAACAGTTAAGTTATGTGAGTTTTTGTAAATCATCATGCTTTTGTGAATGGATAATACAATTCTGAAACTATGGGATTCTAATTGTTTGCAACTTGGCAGAAAGAGTTTACTTGGAACAGAGACAGTAGCAAATGGCCAAAACAGATCATCAAAACTAAAGGATAATCCAGGAAAAGTGTCAGAAACTTTATCATCTAAAATTTGACTATTAATGTGTGGTTCTCGTGTTTGAAGTGTGACAAATTGGTTTTCCTTTTAAAAAAATCACCGGCCAACCATCCCACGAAAGCAACTGAATTATAACAAGCAGACTTCAGTTCACACAATATTATATAATGAAAAGATGCCTTGTCCTGGTGAATTAAAAAATTAAAAAAAAAAGAAAAAAACAAATCCAGCCCATTGTTTCTCATTACCAATGTCTACAGAATAGTGAAAGGACAAGAAAAGCATGTTATTGTTTTACCAAATGCCAATGATCATGAGAGTGGAATGATACTCTCTTCTTTTTATTCAAGTCTACAAAGAGGGCTTCAGATACAAACGTATGTGAATTAAAATTTGTTCATCTCTTATTTCATGTCTTTGACCTTATATACACTTTTTTTTTTTTAATAACGGCATGTCTTCAAATTTTATTTAAGTTTAAAGATTAAAAAAATTAATCCCCTTAGGGATTAATAAGTGTGGATAGATCTTTGACCTTAAAAAATATTATTTCATCATTTATGATGAAATTATACTTAAGGACTCGATCAAAAAAAAAAAAAAAGCTCCCTTATTATGGAAGGAGTGATCAAATAAAGGTAAGAAAATCATGATTGAATAATATTTTGGACTATCCACCTCTTATTATTATTATTTTTTTAATACCAGGTTGCTGCATTACAAGTAAACGTGGGAACCCACCAGAAAGACACTCCATTCTTTTTTTGTGATTGAAAATAGGGAAACCAGCAAAGCAAATGCGTGACAATTAATAAATACATAAAATATAGTAAGTGTGAAATATCTAATAATCATAAATAAAAATCATAGAGAAATATATAATATATGTGTGATTGAATGAGTCAAATTATATAATTAAATTTACCCTACCATTTCTTCGACATGACATGTGATGCCAAAAAAAAAGGTAATAAATATGTACGTATTCACCACTCCACCACAACGATGATACCTTTTTCTCATTAGTTTTTATATTTTCCATTGTAATATAATGTTTAAAAAGTATCGAAGTCAATTTTGGAGGCTACTTTTGACTATTTGAAGTTAAAATTTAGCGTTCACATAATATTTACGCGAACAAGAAACCTATTAATTTTTTTTATAAATTTTTTGCTTGACTTCTGAATGCGTACTACATATAAATAGCCATTTTACCCATTTGTACTACATATATATTTTTAATCATTATTTAGTGTCAAGATTTGTTTAATGGAAGATGCTTTTGTTGAAGAAGAAAATATTGAAAATTGCACATGATCACAATTCACAGGTATTGCATGGCCTTGCGTTTGACATGGTAAAAGATTCTTCAATGTTCTACCGTGTCAAAACTCAAGAATTCATTGATCATGAACTTGAAATGGATTCACTTATTGAACATAAAATAACAGAGAACAGTTTCTGCAATGGTTGAGACAGGTTTCTTATCGGATTTCTTATCAGTCTTTTAGCTGAATGATTGCTTAGCTGGTTGAATTGGAAAGTTGCAATACCAATCTGTCTTGTTTGAAAAAAAAATTTTAACTTCTCAGGTTTTCAGATTTTTAACATTCAATCAGACTACAGAGTCCAAAAGGGATGATGATGCAAAGGGTTAACCAATAAAGCAGCATGATTACTGACACTAAAAAAGTAGTGATGATAAGACCAGGTTGTGACTGTGATTTGATATTAATCCAAGACTTGCTAACCTGCTCCATACCTCTCTCCCCATTCACATTACACTAATTTCAGTTTTCTTCTGCCATTCATATTTCAAGAGCAATTTCATTGTTCTTCATAGTTCATAGCTCATCAGCAGCAATTGTTTACGCAAAGAGTACCACAGCAATCATGTAGTGATTTCTACATGACAGAAGAACAAAATTTTGATTCAAAATTAACATCAACTAAATGCTTATTAATAGAAATAATTACAAGAAACTAATAGTGAGATAGGATTGAGAGTTAGGATCTAAGAGGGCTCGCCAGAGCTTGATAACTTGGAAGCATGAACTGCCAGCTAAGAAAACAGCAGGCTTAAAACCAGCTGGAAAAAAAAGGGATAGCATGCTTAAAAAAAGCCTCAAAAAAAGAATTCAACTTGGCTGTTGGCTCAGACTACTGTGGTGATTGAGCAGCCAAACCCAGCCATGACTTGCTGTCGCCTGTCTTGGAAGGAGGTGCTGCGGAGCTACTTATCTGGTATGGAGCTCTTGTGGTGATCCTGTGAAATGATCATCATAAGGATATCAACATCAATAAGTTAACTCAAAGTTGTATAAACCATCACTCTTGCCAAAAATTTTAGACAAAGGAACGTTAACTTGTCATAAAATGCATCTCCTTTAATCTTATTAAGTTATTAAAATTCAATACAACAATTTATGGTGCCAATCCCAGAAGGGTAGACTCAAATCCTAAACCCAACCAGACGTAAGTAACCTACAAACCCCACAACCCACCCCTTTCTTCTCAAAGTTCTTGATAAAATGAAAGGATTTAAAGGAACAAAAAAAATAGCAGGACTCTCTCAGCCCTCCATACATGAATCAGAAAGAATCAAGGACTCAAAAAAATTTAACTCTAATCGCCTATTTCAAAACAAATTACAATAGATTTTTAAAATGTAATTTCCTTTATTGATCTCTAGATGCCTACCTATCCTTTCGCTTCTCTAGGAACCTGTGGAGCGAAGCTCTCCTTGCAATTGGCAGATCTGCAATAGACAAATACTAATAAGAATCCCTATGTAAAACATGAGAATATGAAGCATAACTCCATCTTCCTAACAACTCCATTAAAAAGACCAAAATGGACAATGAGGATTACCGCCAGGAATGGGTCGCTGAGCAGGTTGAACCACATTTGGGGTAGGAGGAACTCCAATGCCAGATTCAATTGTAGTTCTGGCCATGGTAGAAGTAAAAGGGGAGTTTGTCTTGGCAGGACTGGGGTTGAAGCTGTTGTTTTGGGAGCTGCCCTTGCCAGCTAAAAGCATGATCTCCTTAGCTTTGTCAGCTGGAAAATCATTGAACACAATCACTTGTCCACCATAAAAGATAGTCATCTGTGCAGTTTGAGGCTCCACGGCAGCAAATTTGTTCATGCTAGTAACACTAGAATCAACCCGTTTCAGACCATCATCCTTAGCAACTGGTGATGAAAAACAAGCTTGTTGAGGAAACAAATCCATGGATCTCAACTTCCTAGGAGCTGCAACGTTACGGCCACAAACATCGCCTGAGTTCTCATTGACAGGAAAGAAATTCATTGTAGGACGCAGCATCTCTGGTGTCCCTGCAACATATCCATAAATAAAACGATACATTAGACTCAAACCCTGTTATTCTAAAACTACACCTTTAGCACTTCAAACACTTGTGCTTCTAGAACTGAACTAAGCCTGGCTATTTATAATAAAAACTCCAATGATCCTGTCAAGTTTTAATGAGATCTAAAAGCCAGTATTTTGCCAACAGAATATAAATTGACGGGATCATATCTCAACAGAATTTTGTTCTTAAAAAAAAAAACATACATACATGATTCAAATCCTCATCATCCCTCAAAATTGGTACTTTTGCATCACGCACATGCTCTATTTCTTCTGATAATTTTTTTTTTACTTTTCAAAACAATTTTTTTCAAAATTGAATATTTTCAGGGGAGACCGAGAGAATAAAGGGCACGTTTTCTGACTGTTTTGAACCATTAAACATGAATATGTCAATTTGCAAATCTGATTTTGAGGATCTGAATATTGGACAACAAAAAAAATTAAAAAACAAAAAGATCCTAAATTGAAGATTAATTTGATTAAACAACTTCAAAATTTTGAACGTTAAAACGGCTAATTAAACCGCATGTCCGAGGAGAAAAAAGAGGTAAAAGTAAAAGACACAGAAACGAGCTTAATTGAACTTCATTTATATAGCTAGCTTTAAATCAAGCTTCCTCTTTTAATAGTAAAACAAACTCGAAAAATTCTAATTCAGTGATTCTTTCTCAGTTTCCTCTGTTTCCTCATCGACCCAAAACTCAAAAAGATAGAAGAAAAGCACAGAAATAAAGAACTTACCATTAGCTTCAACGTTGCATGTCATTCCCAGAGATAGATCTCCAAAACTACCTTTCTCCTTCAAGTACTGACTCAACAAATTACAAGTTTGAGTAAAGCTTGACTTCTCCGGTGACCTCGCTGGTTTCTGACCCATAAATTCCGGTGAACACGACATACTTCCGACTAAACAGAACTGTTTACTCCCTTTGCTCTTTTTGGTTTTCAGAGAATGATTCGAGATCAAATACCTCGATCTTTGAACTTTTTTACAACTGCATTAAGGATCTGTTCGAGAATTGAGATGTTTTCAGATAAGAGAAAATTTATTTATACGAGGAGAAGGATAAAATGGTTTTTGTCTTTGAAAAGCTGGGGAGAAGGGAAGGTGGGTTAAAAGCACGAGGAATAAATGGGGCAGCTTGATTTATTCAGCGTCGAAAGAGGCTGCTTTAATATTTTTATTGTCTCGTTTGTTTGGGTTTTCAAACACGTGTTCTTTTGTTTTTCTTTTCTTTTCTGTTTTGTTTTATTTTCCGTCAACGGCGATTTTTTTATTATCATGAATTTACTTTCTTGTCCTTGTACTGATAATACATATTTGTTTCTGGCTTTGTTAATCTTTTTTAGCACGTTTTTGTTTCAATTAAATAAACAAAAATTACGGATTAAGTTAAATTAAGAATTTTAAAAAATTATATATTAATATTTTTAAATATACCAATTAAAGGTGTTTTTAAATGCATGAAAAAAAATTCTTACCATACCATAATTATCATTTTATGATAAGATAGACATGTGTTAATTCTTTTAACTTCAATATTTTAAATGATATTTTAAAAATTTATACGTTAAAATTACTTGCTATTAAAATTTTTTTCTTTAATAAGCAAAATTTTCGTTTATAAAAAAAAATAAAAATACATGTTTTAAAAAGAACAAGCTTGCCACGTTAAGCAAAAAAAAATCTAAAAACATAAACTTACTATTAAATTTTCATTTAATACTTCTACTATTTTATATAGTTACCCCCCTTCAAAATGAAAAGTAAAACTTTCAATTGAGTTTGAATTTACTTTTTGTGTTTTTCTAAAAGTGAACTATAGACTTTTTCAAAATTCAAAGTCGTTTTCCCTTGTCCAAAAATTTGACCTAATTTTCCCTTTTCAAAACAAGTTTTATGGGAAACATGGTTAAACTCCACACAAAGGGTATTTCTGTAAAATAAGTCTACTAATTAAACACCTTAATTAAAGTTTAAACAAACAATAATGAATCCCACTGGACTGACCATAACAACGTTAAAGATAACGGCGCTTGGTGTGACTTTCTCTTTTTACATAATAACTTAGTTATTTATAAATTTGTATACAGTAGTACTTGTTTTTTCTGTTACGTGCCGTCGTATAGGCGAGCGGTTCAACCAAAGTGGGCACCACAAACCCAAATGCGAACACAAAAACACCGCCTTCGCCCCTTTCCCATCCCATACTTCCTTCTCAAAAAAGGCAGCGGCATGTGCACGTTCCTTCCCCCGGTAATATTTCGACACGTGTAAACTTAATGTCGGACATGCAATTCCGCGTGGGGAATTTTCGCCCTTTCCCCAATTGGATGGTGCAACTTGGAGTGGGGAAGGGGCTCGGATATCCTACTCCTATTCCCATTTTTGTTTGTCTTGTCATCTTTCATGTGATTTTTTATTTACTTATCATTGTCGTCGACTAATATTCATAATTTTTTTTTCTTTGTTTCCTTATTTTGGATAAGAGAATAACCAATGTTTCCATTAATGAAGTTTAATAATGTATATCTTATCCTAATTACTAACAAATACAACGGGGACATGCTAACTAATATATTCCAATCTAATAGATTAGGCACATGTTAGATTGTCACAATGGATTGTTGTTGAGATAAAATATTATTATATTTTTGTTAAAAAATTTTAAAAATTTTTATCACAAATTAAATATTTAATATTAACTATTATGAAAGATATATATATAATGCTCACGAAATAAAATAAAATTTCAAGCATTTTAAGTAATAATACCCAGGAAATGCAAAAAAAAAAAAAATTAAAAACTCTTACAAAATGTTAAATGTTTATTAATTCTTTTAATTTCTATAATCACGATTTAATTTTTAACAATTTGAAATATAAAAATTTTAAATATTAAATACCCAATAAAGCCGTATTTATAGTTAATTATCTTAACTTAAATGCGTGGTCAAGAAAATAACTTAAATATTTTCTCTCTCCCTGTGTTTAAAAGATTAAATGACATAAAGTTATACCATGTGAATCAATAATTTGATACTAAATGCTTAATCAACAACAAGAAAACAAGTTGGTGATTACTTTATTATGCTTAATTTTGGAGTTGTGTTTTCTTTCTTTTGAACTTCACCTCATACTTTTTATTATTTTATGGTAAGTAAAATAATATTTTTATCTAATTGGAAGTTTTGTAACTACTGAAATATTTATTTTTCTTACCAACTGACATAGAATTGTTTAAGTTGATAAATTTGGATTTTTGTACAATAAAATAATAAAAGCATCTTGTAAATAAAATAAAAATAAATTTGGAATGCTGTGGCAAACAAATTTCACTAATAAATAAAAGAAAAAGTCAAACCCGTGTGGGAAACGCGGAAAGAGAGAAAGATGGGGATGGTGGTGGGTGCACATGCACCGCATACCGGCTCACAAGCTTAAAGTAACACGTGGCCGATAATCAGAGGGTAGTGAAGAGAACATTTTTTCTCGTGACGGGGACATGAGAGTTGCAGCTTTTTCGTTTTCTTTTAATTTTTTTATGGTCTCCAACATGGGTGGTCCCCACGTTTTGCACAGTGATCTAGAATTGTGTATAAAAAAAAAAGAAAAACATGAAGAAAGAGTCACGGGCGTCTCGACTCGACTCCTGACGTGCTGTAAGAAAGAGCGGAGTAACCAACACGTGATTGGCGTGTCGGCTCTGGTACTTACTGACGAAACACCCTTCTATTTGTGGAAAATTACGGCACCATACCAACACGAATCCTTTTTGAGTTGTGGTATTAAGGGACCGCTCTCATGCTAAAACCGTGGGCTCAATCCCTCTCCCTCCATACTTGCGTTTTCATCAGACGTCTTTTCTCATTTGCAATGTGTTACTGTTTATGATTTTTATTTTTCTAGGAGATTTGTCGAGGCTTAAGTGTGATTCGTAAATCCCAGCAAAAAAATGGTAACAGTTCTTCAATTTAATGCTTGCTGTTTTAAGTGTCAGGTCGGTCAAAGTGGAGAGTGACATTCAAACTTTAATGCAAAGGGGCAATGGGGCCAAAGATTTTTAATTACAAGCTCTTGATTTTGTGTTTCTTTCCTTAATGATTGTTGTTTTCATGTCATGTGAGTTCGTGGTTGGTGTAACCTCTCATTTCCCACTACTTTTGCGATCAAATTATGCTAAGCATGGCAAAATCTTTTCTCATAATCCAAAAAGATCTGCAGCTTAATTCTCTACTAATCAAATTACTCTGATCTTTTACCTACCTCAGACCCCTCCCTCCAAATTGGATTGCCAAATCAATGCTCCTTACAAGCAAAGGGGGTTGGTCATTGGTCCGGTGAGATCAGTGTCATAATCACATTTCATTTTGTATCAATTACATGATTACAAATTAGTGCATGACAATTGCAGTTGTCTAAAAGAAGGGGAAAAAAAAACCAATATTGTGTTGGAAAAATTGGTAAGATTTGTCATAATATATAGATCCGTAAATTTATAGTTAAATTTAATAAAATAAATGGAGTCATCATTAATTTTTTTTATTTATATGTGATTAGTTATTTAAGGAATCTATCATTTTAAGAAGCTCTTAAGCTCGACTAAGGGTCTCTAAAAGAATATATTCACGTCTACAAACCAGAACATGATTTCAAAAATTCGGTTACATGTGAGAAATGTTATAACACCCAATGCCCATCCAAAAGATGATACCATATTATTTCAAATTTATCATAGGGTCTTGAGTCTAATATTTTCAAATATTGAAAATAATTTATAAGATTCTTCTATTAATCTAGTAAAATTTTTAAAAATATTTTCTCACTTCAAGAGTATTTAAGAATCTTATTTATTTCCTTGAAAAGGTTTCGTCGTCGAAAAAATATTTATTATTTTTTTTGTTAAAAATATTTATTATTTTTTTTGTTAAAAATATATCTAATTATTACACAATTCGAACCAAATTCGAAATATTTTATTGTTTTGAATTTCTAAATTCTTCACCATTTGGGGTTATTTAGAATTTTTTTTAATTATTTTTTTTCAAAAATAAAATAATATGAAAAATATTTTTATTGAAACTTCATCTAAATTATTTCACCATTTAAGATAAATCTAGAGAAAATTTCTCACCTAAAGATTTTTTAAAAATTTACTATTTGAAATTTTTAAGAATTTCATCATTGGGTAATTATCACATATTTTCAATCAAAATTTTGTTTGAAAAAGAATACAATTACTTATGTTGAAATTCTGTCTAAATTATTTCACCATTTGGGATAAATCTAGAGAAAATTTCTCATCTAGAGATTTCTTAAGAATTTATCATTTGAATTTTTAAGAATCTCATTATTGGGTAATTTTATTTAATTTCAAAAATTTTTATATTTTTATGTTTTATTTATTTATTTTATTTTATTTTGCTTGAAAATAAACATTAATTATTGTTATTGAAACATTATCTAAATTATTTCACAATTTGGGACAAATTTATATAAAATTTCTCACCTAAGAATTTTATAAAAATTTAACATTTAAAATTTCTATAAATTTCATAATTAGATAATTAATATTTATTCCTAAAATTTTATTATTTTATTTTTATTAAATTAAATCATGCAAAAATATTCCTAAAACAAACACATAAATAAATAAAAAAACATTAAAAAAAAAAACATACCAAAGGACGGCTCAACTTGTGACTGGAATTGGCTCGACTTGAGGCAGAAAAAAATAGCTTAAAAACACGGTTCGAGAGTGCATGGCTCGGCTCCAAAGGACGGTTGGCACGCGGATCAAACGCGGGTCGCAATCGGATCAAATTGATCCGATGGTAAAATGCGCGGATCCTATAGAAATAGTAAAGCCAAAACGGCATCGTTTTACAACGGTATAAAAGGTAAAAGCTTTCGTTTTTCTTCAGATGCCTCCCTTCTTTCTTTCTCTCTTCTCTTTTTTCCTCTCCCCTCTCTCTGCAAAATTCTAGAATTCGATTGAATGTTCTACCAAAATCTGAAAAAACCCGTCAAAAACTGAAAAAAGATGCTAGAAAATTCAAGTTTCGTTGAAAAATTGATCGGAATCTGAAATTTTTTCCAAAAATTTTCCAAAAAAAAAAAAAAACACCAAAAATTTTGAAAAATTCCTAAAAATCCTAAAAT